TTTTTTTTTTTTTTTTTTTTTGGCACGTCTTATGCGGAACACACTGTATAATTATAAATAATTATATGTAATTATATATTTATAATTATATATAATTTTTTATAATTATATAAACAGTTTTATTAATATAAAGTCGTGATTTTCTATATTGACACGTTTTCATACTACGAATAAATTTTAACAACTCCACTAACAGAAGACGAAACCGATTAGACGACCGATCGACTTGCAGCCTCGAGCGATAATCCGTTACATCGTTACTATGTACATTTGTTCGAGATTCGTGTCATAGTGGTATTAATCTCATCAGCGACAATCGTCGGATTGAGTTAGTAGTGTACCATCCGAGGAAAAATCATCGCGAGTTGTTAGGATGAGATTGTTACGGACGGACTTGGGCTGAACTTTCTCCCTATCTCCCTCTCCCCTCTCTCTCTTTCATTCACACATATTCAACAAACATACACACACATAAAACTCTGTACATACATTACAGACTATTGTCATTTTAGTCAGGAGCTAAAACACTGCACTTGTCGGCGGGCTCGAACGCTTCCTCGCTATCACACTGAAAAATTCTTGTAGAAGATGGACCAGATTGCACATCTTCGTGAGGCACCTTTGGCAACGCGTTATCATTCGTCTGATTCGATATAATATGTTGGTCCTGCACAGCGACGTTCTCGATAAGTTCCGTTGACTCGTGATTTTCTGTAACGTCTATTTGCTCATCGTTTGAGCTCATCGTTAGTTGTTTCATAGGAACAAACGAAGCAGATTGTGTGCCATTTGACGATATTAAATTCAACTTTAAACGGTCTCGCGTGTGTCGTAATTCTCCCAATTGATATTGCTGTTGTTGCTGCTGCTTACATTGTTCATATTCATTTGCAAAATCGACGTGGTTCTGTTGTAGCGATTCCTGTTGTCGATAGCTATCTGTTTCATCCCGATCATCGGAAAACGAAGTTGCATTCGCTCCAGGAAAAAATTGGCTGACGTATTTGCTTTCACCGGTTTGGAACTGAAAGGGCCGACTCGAACTGGTAACAAAGAATTCTTCGTTTCCTACAATGAGAACATCATCAAACCAGGATTGATGGCGTTTATAGGTGTAAATTATGATACTCTATGTCTATGTGTAGACGAAACTATGTGTAGATGAACTATGTAAAATATCATTTATGTACACAATGAATAATCTATGAATGTCGTTTAACCCTCTCGTCTTAAATAAGATACACATAGATATTGTCGTGCCCTTATCGTCGGGCGCGAGGGAAAGAATTTTGAAGTCAATGCTGCGGACGCGGCAGACTGTGTGGCGGTGGGTGATCAGATCGAGTTTCTTTTAATAAACGGACATTATTATAACAAGTACTGACTTATTTATTAAACTCTCGAATTCTTATAGTAAAACGCGATATACGCGACAGGCACAAACGTCGCAGGCGAGAGACCGGAAGAAGAGTTCCCGCCGCGCGGTCTTCTCCGACCTTTTTATAATAGTTGTTAGAGGGGGTGGCTTAGCAACAAGGAAATTGCTGAATTTTGGATTGGCCCGGCACGTGCCAGCTCCAAGACCGAGCGCGGAATGTGCAAGGTGGTGCTTAGTCGCTGCTCGGCAGCGCTTGCACATCCGCTGCCGAGTTGTAGCGCGGTCGAAACGGTTCTTCTTTCGGCAGCGCATAAAATAATATTTTATCTAACAATTATAACATCCTCCCCCCGCTGGGAAAAGAAAACGGAGTGTTCTTAAAGAAGTTTTCGTCTTTTTTCTCGAGTTGCGCTTATTTTTGTCTTTTGTGTAATCGTTATTTTTCAATGCTGGTTATAATCATGTAAAATGCTATATCTATTTCATTCTTTAATTTTATTTACATTTTCCACTTTGTTATAATTTTGTCTCTCAATATTTACAAATATGATTATAATCGTGTAATACTTATAACTATGCGTGCAGGCTATATCTGCGTGTTAATGCAGGAATTGTGGATATTATTAGTTTGGAACGTGTTCTTATGTTTCGTTCGGTATTATGTTCTATTATAATTGGAGGATATATTATTATGTTCTATTATAATTGGGATTTCTTCCCTTTTTTATTTTTCTTACTAGGAAAATTACAATTACGATTACTATTATCACAGTTATTCCGCTCGGTGTTGTAGTATATATTATATTTTTATAGTTTGTCAAGAAGTTCGAGCTATTTTCCAAATTATGATATGTTTGCATTATCTTATTGCTCAGTTTCGCTAACTCTGACGGATTTTAAACTATCTTTTTCGGTTTTAATTCGGTAGTATTTCGTTTTTATTTTTGATTGTGTTTATGTATCCTTACTCAAATGTTACGTTTTCACAAGGTGATTCTGTATTAATTCTGTATATTGCGTTTTTTTATGAGCAAGTATACTGATTATTAAATTTTATACATTCCACTAATTCATTTTTATGCAATGTCAGATATGTATTTGTTTTTTGGTTAATTGCGATTTCGGTAAATAGTATCTGTTAAGGTAAAAATGTTATCATGTACAGGAAAAGGATGTATGCGTATGACCTCATATGTAGGGTAAGTTATGAGAGGTAAGTTTAAAATAGTGAAAATATTTTTATTTCTATAGTACGCACTAATTGTAAGGAATTTTTCGATTTCTAGCCAATTTTCTTTTCTAGACATGAATAGGAAGTGTGTACCTTTTAGTATATGAATTAATATTTCTTGTAGTTGAGATACGATGCTATCTATCGGTGTTAGTTTGATTGGTAAGTTTCCTCGCTTTATGCTATCTAGATAGTTAATTATGTCTTGGTCACGTATTAAGTCATTATTAAATGTGCTTAGGTAGGTCTCTAATATTCTATGTACAATTTTAATCGGTTCGCGTGTGTATGTAACATACTTCGGCCGCGTTTTATTGTGTAATTTTCATTAGGATGTTTTTCCATCACTTTGTAGGATCCTATCCACAGTGAATCGAGTTTTTTTAGATCGACCTTTTCATACTGTTTCATCATATATTAATACTTGATCTCCTATTTGATAGTTGGTTTGTTTTGTTTTCTGGTCATAGTGTTTTTTACTTTTTTGTTTTTCTTCTTTAATGTGATGTCGTGCTTATCTGTTTGTTGCTCTTAATCTTTATTTCATTTCTTCCGCATAGTCATCCATGTTGTACGTAATCTTCGGTGGTTGGAGGGCGGAAGATGTTTGCTCGATGTCCAAATACTAATTCGAATGAGGTGTAACCGATGCTAGAATGGGGTGTTGTGTTGTATGTAAATATGGCGTATGGTATCAAATCACCACAATTTGTCTGGTCTTTATTTATATAATGTAAATATGCGTCGTCTAAAGCGCTGGCGACCGTTTCTTTGGGATTCGATAGGCGCTTGATGCTTAATCCCGCTAGTGCGCTATGTAGGCACGTTCGGTTCAATATCGGTCGATCGGGAGTACCGCTCTCGCTCGACATTCATATTCCTAAGTGTACGCTCGTATACGCTCAGTCGCTTGAGTTACAATGGTTTCTTGACTTACAGTAACGTTGTCACGGCTCGTACATAGTTCATCATGTTTGGTTGTGTCAGCAAGTCGTTGATCGTCGCTGGGCCGATGGACGTTGAGGCAGGTCGCGGTCACCGCTGATGCATTCGCCGTAGGCTCCGGTGTCGCTGACAACGAGTGTCGTTGGCCGTAGTTCCGACGGTCGTCTTGATTACGCTGCAGCGTTGTCTTTCACCGATTACCGCCGTCCTCCGCTGTCTCTGTTTCGCCTTGTGATCCTAGTTTGTTTTCTTGGAGGGCTCGCAATAACTTTTCGCTTTTTCGGGTAGAATTGTTTTCAAAATGTATTGACGGGGTAGTTTTTTCCTCTCGGTCGTGTAATATATCGTCCATCCTTGAGATAGCCGGTAACGATTGTCAATGGACGTATTTCCAACGTCCACTAGCTGGCTCCGACGGTCTCTCGTTCTTCTTTTCTCTTTCTCTTCTTCTTTCTTCGTCACTTACACTACCTTTGGCTAACCCGTAATGTAATTTTTTGTTCACAGGTAACACCCAAGGCCCGTCGGACACTGATCCCACCAAATTTGTCGTGCCCTTATTGTCGGACGCGAGAGAAAGGATTTTGGAGTTGATGCTGTGGGCGTGGCAGAGTGTATAGCGGTGGGTGATCAGGCAGAGTGTAGTCGAGTTTCTTTTAGTAAACGGGTTTTATTATAACAAGTACTGACTTATTTATTAAACTCCCGAATTCTTATAGTAAAGCACGGTATATGCGACTGGCACGAACGTCGCGGGCGAGAGACCGAAAGAAGAATTCCTGCCGCGCGGTATTCTCCGATCTTTTTATAATAGTTGTTAGACCTTATCGGAGGGAGTGGCTCAGCAACAAAGAAGTTGCTGAATTTTGGATTGGCCCGGCACGTGCCAGCTCAAAGACTGAGGCGCGAAATGTGCAAGGTGATGCTTACAAGGGGAACCCGGCAGTCTCTGATCACCGATTTGAATAAAATTTTATGGGTGTGTAGTATGCACTCATACATTTACTCCTGTAAAGCCGTAGGACCCACTATTGAGGCATTCTTGAGAAATATTTTTTTTAATATTTCGAGAAAAATTTTTGTCCCTATAGTACCGTTACGGAAAAGCAATCTTCGAGCTAGTAGCGTAGCGTCCACGATAAGACGTAGACTACTACGCTCGGGGTTGCAGGTTTGATTCCCTGAGTAATTTTTTTTTTTTTATTTAAATCTTATATATTTTTAAATTTGTATATAACACAATTTTAAACCGTTTTTAATTATTTTATATCAAATTTTTTAATAAATAATTTGTATGTTAAATAAATATTTTTTTTTAATCAAGGAATTTAAAAATGCTCATTTATTATTAATTAAATTAAAATTTCTCATGCACACAAAAAATATATTTCCAATAAGAATTTACAACGACTGTTATACAATAAATTAAAATGTATAATTTACTGTTTTACAATAAGTTTGCAGCTTTTAAGGTCGTATTTATCATAAAAACATTTAAAACATAATGATTAATTAATAATGAGCATTTTTAAATTCCTTGATTAAAAAAAATATTTATTTAACATACAAATTACTTATTAAAAAATTTGATATAAAATAATTAAAAACGGTTTAAAATTGTGTTATATACAAATTTAAAAATATATAAGATTTAAATAAAAAAAATCATTTAAATAAAAAAAAAATCATCAGGGAACCGAACCTGCAACCCCGAGCGTAGTAGTGTACGTCTTACCGTTGACGCTACGCTGCTAACTCGAAAATTGCTTTTCCGTAACGGTACTATAGGGACAAAAATTTTTCTCGAAATATTTAAAAAAATATTTCTCGAGAATGCCTCAATAGTGGGTCCTACGGCTTTACAGGAGTAAATGTATGAGTGCGTACTACACACCCATAAAATTTTAATCAAATCGGTGATCAGAGACTGCCGGGTTCCCCTTGTTAGTGTAGCGCTTGCACATCCGCTGCCGTTGTAGCGCGGTCGAAACGGTTCTTCGTGAAGCATTTCGGCAGCGCATAAAATAATATTTTATTTTACGATTATAACAATATATTAAAAAACGAAAAGATTAAAGAACGTATGGCTTGCTAAAAAATTATGAAAAGGGAAGTTTATATTTTTATTTAATCTTTAGAATTTTGATATAAATTTATGAAAATTGTTTTCTACACTAAGTTAAAGCCCACAACATTCTTTGATTATATTTTTACCTACAGAGAGTGAAATCTATTAATCTATTATATAATTGGAATAAAAATTTCATGTAATTTTTTATCTCTTTTAACATTAATTTATAATTAATGCCCAAAATATATATGGTAACTGTCTTATAATTTAATTATTCTTTTTCGTATATTTTAATATAATTTGCAATATTATTTATACATGAAAAACGACTATATACATCACGTAGAAAACAATTCACGTAATAACAATAAATAACAAAAAATAAATAACAATTTGCGTAAACGCAGTCTTGAAATTTAAGGCACAACTTTGCAATATATCAAGTATTATGTAAATATGCGATATCACATGATAGAAATGTCTTCTTGCGATATTTTATCTTGTCGAAATTTATTCTTACCAGTATGATTGACATCGTCGTAACCCAAAGGATACAGATCTAATCGTGGTTCATCCATCATTTCTTCCCAATCTATAAAATATAGATAATTCGTTTATTTGAATTCAAATTATTTAAATTCGAAAATATGAGTTATTATAAATATAATTTATAATAAATACATTATATAGTACATAAATTAATTAGTACATAAATATATTATATAGTAAATTCATTATACAGACAGGGTGATCAAAATATGCCCATCTAAAATATCACGGAAATTAAGGAAGATACGAAAAAGTATTCTGGACAAATGTTATAAAATTTCAAGAGAGAAAAAATATAGTAATAAATTTATTTGATCTTGAAATAAAACCTGGAAATACTTTGTTAAAGTCAACTTTAATTTTTTGAGTGGAACTATAGTTTTTTTTAAATATAAATCGATTTATATAGCCATTTTGGATATAAAAGTACTTAGATATAAAAAATCATTGAAAAGTAAGTACTTTCCGAGATGTTATATTTATTTCGTATCTCTCATACTGAAAAGTATCAAGATAAAATGTAAACTATGTAAGAATGTATTTATCCCAATATTTCTATATACAGAAAGATTCAATGAATCGGTTTATGTTAAAATAAAACTATATGATTCTATTAAAAAAATTAAAGTTGTCTTTGATATAACTTTTTAAGATCATCCCAAAGTCAAATAAATATCACAATTTTTTCGTCTTCCTAGAACTTCTGAAACATTTTCGTATTTTCTTTAATCGTTTAAGTATCACGTTGCGCGATTGCGCTATTTCCATTCTTTGAAAGTGCTAGCCCATTCACTAGCGAAGCATTCAGATTATGTTGCAGTATAATTGTTTAACGTTGTAACATTGTTAATGTTATAAGTTTAAGAGTCATTACCAAACTCCAATTATTAAACTCATAATTTGTATTTGTACAATGCTTTATCAAGTGGTATTGCCGCGATAAGTATATAAAAAATCTAAATAAACAAAATTAAAGCCAATAAAAGCCAAAACCAGGTATCCGTGTTCCTAAACTTTTTTTATTATAACAGTCTAAATTGAAATGACCAATACAAATTTAATATAATTTTTTTACAAATAATGAACTAAAAACACATCTCAAATATGATTCAAGTAAAAATTTCCAATTTTTAATTTCCAACATTTTAATTTATATTGAAATTCTAGACAAAATCGTAAAACTCATAACTTGTTCTCGTAAGACTCGTAAGAACTTATGAGTAGATCTGCAATTCTATGTAAACCGTATGTCATACGATAATTCGTAAATATCTATGATTTTCATTTTTTTTTCGTATGACTTTATAATTTTACGATTTACTCGTATATTCGCTTAGAATTGCAGCATTAATCTGTCAAAGTGTCGAACAATATTATTACCATGCAAGTGTCTACTATGCTATATGATGATTATAATATCGTGAAAAGGACGACATTCATAAGAGCATTTTTATCACTTTTCATTTCACTGTGTTTGTGCTCGCGAAATCTCAGCTCTGTCATTCGTGAAATATAATCGCTTCCCGTTTGAAAACTATTATAACCCCGACATTTTTGTATTAAACCTTTCGTTTAGAAATGTTCTAAAGAATCTATCATTAAAATATCATCCGGTAATTTCCGGACACTCTATATATATATTTATTAGGTCAAGCTGAATAAAAAACTCCTTTACCATTTTGTAAATGACTACATAGATTTTCAGATAATAATTAAAGAAGATTTATGCATTATCGCACACAATTATATAACAATTTTCTTTCATTAATAACTAAAAGTTTACCTGATTATTTGTAAAATTATAAGGAGTTTTTTTGTTCCATTTGACCTAATATGTAAGCACACAACAGTATACATCGCCACTATAACTCATCTATCATATTACGCGTGATTCTTCACCAATTTTCTTTAATTAATATCTTGACTATTATTGTGAATATTGTAAAACGATATAGGATCCTTATGTTCACCTCAATATATTCTACGATTCCGCAAAAATTGCAGAGGAGAGTCTGGGATATTCTCGAAAATAAAAATTCTAAATAAATTGTCGGTATCTTTTTTTACATAATATATCATAATAAAGAACCCCATGTAGATGGTTACCTCCGATTTGGATGAGCTTGAAATATGTTGTAATTTAGACTAAAAGAAAAGACATGTATTTTTTTATACGTGGCTAGGCGGACTTTTAGGGGGCAAAACACCCTTTTGAAAAAAATCGGCTTTTCTTTTAAGAGCATATTTCGTCAAAAGTATAAAAGATAAAAAAAAACTTTCTAAACAAAAATTAAATTGTTTTAGGAGTACTTTGCAATGATAAAATTAGATATTTGAAAAATGTAATGATTGCAAACATACCCCCACCACTCAACCATTTTTTTGTAATTTTAAAATTTTGTGTCTATCAAAAAAAAGTATATTTTATGCTAACCATATATAATAATATGATTTTTCGACATACGGACATGTTGAAAAATAGGTGGGAATATCTTCATATAACCGTAATGTCATCCGTAGCCGCCTAACCTACTCTATTATTAGAGTTTATTTAGTTGTGTGTGTGTGTGTATATATATATATATACTGTATGTAAATATATATATATATATACATATATATATATATATATATATATATATATATATA